CTATGCGTTCCTCTATGAATATGCCTCCCCAGACCATCACTTACCCACCACCAAAATGGTCATGCTGAACGATGTTAAAGGCAGCATAACATTCTCCATGGCTTCTACAGACACTGTGCTCAGTGTGAACCTGCTCTCATCTGTGAAAAGCACAGGGTGCCAGTGGTGGACCTGCCAATTCTGGTGTTCAGTGGCAAATGCCAATCGAGCTCTATGGTGCCAGGCAGTGAGCACAGGGCCCACTAGAGGACATCAGGCCCTCAGGCCACCCTCATGAAGTCTGCTTCTGATTGATTGGTCAGAGATATTAACAACAGTGGCCTGCTGGAGGTCATTTTGTAGGGCTCTAGCAGTGCTCATCCTGTTCCTCCTTGCACAAAGGAGTAGATACTGGTCCTGTTGATAGGTTAAGGACCATCTACGGCCCTGTCCAGTTCTTCTAGAGTAACTGCCTGTCATCTGGAATTTCCTCCATGCTCTTGTCACTGTTCTGGGAGACACAACAAACCTTCTGGCAATGGCACGTGTTGATGCGCCATACTGGAGGAGTTGGACTGCCTGCACAACCTCTGTAGGGTCCAGGTATCACCTCATGCTACCAGTAGTGACACTGACCCTAGCCAAATTGAAAACTAGTGAAAAACAGTCAGAAAAAGATGAGTATGGAAAAAAAAAAAATCCCATTCCTGTTTTGGGGGTCGTCTCATTGTTGCCCATCTAGTGCACCTGTTGTTAATTTCATTAACACCAAAACAGCTGAAACTGATTAACAATCCCCTCTGCTACTTAACTGACCAGATAAATATCCCAGGAGTTTAATTGACTTAATGCTATACTCTAAAACGTGTTCCTTTTATTTGTTTTGAGCAGTGTACTTTTTTCCCACTGTGCACTAGGAAATCTCAGTAGGAATGTTATTGGTTGCTTTGAATAATGGATTACACTTCAAAACTCAACTTCCAGGTTTTCTTGAGAAATATTAATTGAAATATTAATTGAACAAGCTGAAGTCAGAAGCTGATTGGCCACTATGCTCAGCTAATTCTGAGTGCTCCAATTTTAGTAAATCCCCTCCAATGGGTCTTATGCTTCTTTACTCTATCCAAAAAAAATTGCCTTTACATTCATTTTTAGCTTGTGTCCATTGACGCAATTGAGGGTAAATATTCTCTTTTTGCCGCAGACTTCATGGAGGACTTGGTGCACACTACAGTTTGATGTCTGTTTTATACAAAGTCAGTTGTAGTTGCACTTTTGTCTAGCAAGTCCCAGACACAGGACAGAAGCTATATGTCAATCTGTCCCATCACTGAGGGCCTGCTCTCTATTTTTAGATTATAGCCAGCTTTACTCTCTCTTTAAATGACAACCTGGTGAAGTCTGTCAGACTTCTGTAGTGCACCTGTTGAGAGATCAGCTAGGAATTCTGGGGAATATAGCACAGACTCTCAGTAAACTGGCAGGCTGCAGAGGGCTTCAGCTGTGTAATTAATCTCCCTCATATTGCAATTCTGCTTCATACAGTATATGTTACTTAAATGGAAACTTTAAATACAAACTAGGCAGATTTAAATCCACAAGTGAGGTTAAGTCTTTATTAAAAATCATGAAGTGCCCCAGGGGCATAACTACAGGGGTCACAATTGTGACCCAGTCCCATACTCCAGAGGGCCTGTGCGTCCCACCCTGTGTACCTGGATAGGAGATTCAGTGGGGGGCAGCATCTTGAGAAAAATATCTCCTCCTGCAGCCGCTAAAAGACCGTTTCTCCTCCTCTGCCTCCAACATACATTCAGCAGTTGCAGGAGGAAAAGAGAGAATTGGTTTCTGCCCCTTGTCCCTCATAACCAGGTCCTGCTGCCCCACTTTTAGCTCTCCTATCCTGCTGTGTGCTCTTCTGGCCCCCCTCATCCCCCTACAGCTCAGCCGGCTTCTCCTCTCCCACCGGCTGGATGTGTCAGGGTGGGGAGCAGAGAAGTGGCCAGTAAATATGTAATTTACCACCTCCTTCCTTGTCTTAACGAATAGAGTCAGTGATCCATACCGATCCCGATCACTGACTCTGTTCATTCATAACTGATGCATAGTTAACTGTGTTTACTATGCTTCAGTGTGTGAATGAACAGGAAGCTCTATATAGAGCTATTCCTGTCCATTCATTCAGTGCAGCTGAGGCTGCAGAGATGGAGATTGAGGACTGTGTCTTCTCTGTCTCAAAGGTGAAACATCAGTGGTCTGTTTACACCTCTGAAATTTCACCAAAACCCCCATTCAGGGGTAAAAAAAAGAATAAACAATACAATAGTAAAAAATAAATAAAATGGTGAAAAAAATAAAAATAAACAACTAGTGAGGCCAGTTGCAGAACTACCAGGGTAGGGCCCCAGCCGCGGATCAGAGGGGCGCTTTATGGTTTCTTGCACCGGGGCCCTCAAGGTTCTAGTTACACCTCTGAAGAGCCTTATTGTTAAGGTATATGTAACACTGCTAGCAGCATGTCAACCCACCCTAGCTACCACAGATGAGGTGCTTTGAAGGCTATTCCATTTACCTCCCTATCCCTGACTCAAAAATTTGACTCATTTACTGTCCATAGAGTCTACCATATACTACTAACAACATTTAAATGGGAATGTATATCCTCTCCCAACTGCACAAGATGTGACACAGATATGGGATTCCTGAATGAGGAGATGTCCAAAACTTTTTAGATATGGGGAAGATATATTTCAAGCTAGAGCTGGTAAATCTAGCCATAGTGACCAGATTTAATAGGGTAAATATATTTCAAGCTGTTCTCCATATCTCTACCAATTGATCCCAAGATAGGTATTTTAGGCATTTTGTCATCTTAGAACAAGCTGGGCCAATCATAACAAGAATTTTATTCATCTCCTGAAAACAAATTGCCCAAAAGTGGTTGTCCCAAACTCCACCTACATTTGACTAACGGAAAGCCTAAATTAATTTACTATTGGAAAGGAAAAAACTCACATACCTACATGGGGGATGTCCTCAAAAATTCTATAAAAGGGGTCAATATAGCTGGGTTCACCTGGTATAGCATCTTCTAGTGCATTCCTGCACTGCCTCTTTAATGGAATTAATTATTTCTTGATAAAACGCAGATAAAATTGAAGTATTAATGCATAACTTTCTACAAATCTGGGGTACAAATCTTTTCTACTATCCTAATACTCCTAAGAAGTCCAGATTCATTCTACTTTACTCAGTGTCTTTCCTGTGACTGAATTTTGTAAATCAATGCTGTTTTTCTGATAACATATTAAGGGTTACCGTATATACTCGAGTATAAGCCGACCCGAATATAAGCCGAGGTACCTAATTTTACCACAAAAAACTGGGAAAAACTATTGACTCGAGTATAAGCCGAGGGGGGAGGAATAGTGCCCCATCGTTGGTGTCAGTGGGGGGAGGAATAGTGCCCCATCGTTGGTGTCAGTGGGGGGAGGAATAGTGCCCCATCGTTGGTGTCAGTGGGGGGAGGAATAGTGCCTCATCGTTGGTGACCCCTGCTCCAGCCTGGGCTCGCTCGCTCCCTCCCTTTCCCATGGTACACACTTACCGGTCAGATGTCTTCCTTCTCCGGCTGCTCTCCTCCTCTTCACTCGCTCGATCTTCGCGGTGCCGCTCGGCTCCTCCTCTCCAAGCTCCACCTCCTCGCCGGTGATTGGGCGCCTGTGTGCCTCTCCTGAGATACAGTTCCGGCGGCCAATCACCGGCGAGGATTGATCCCGGGGGTGTGTCCAGATGACAGGGACGGCATGTCATCTGCAGACGTTGACTCGAGTATAAGCCGAGGGGGCCGTTTTTCAGCACAAAAAATGTGCTGAAAAACTCGGCTTATACTCGAGTATATACGGTATTTACTCAAACTGGAGAGTGAAAAATCTGGTGCAGCTCTGCATATAAACCAATCAGCTTCCAGGCTTTATTGCCAAAGATTAATTGAACAAGCTGAGGTTAGAAGCTGATTGGCTACTCTGCGCAGCTGCACCAGATTCTGAATGTAAAGTTTTAGTAAACCCCCCACTCAATTTTCTCCTGAACTTTATCCCTCAAAAGATTTTGTCTATTACATGACAAATTACAACTGATTTAAAACACCCCAGGGATAGTTCTATCTATTTTCACTGATACTATTGATTATATATATATATATATATATATATATATATATATATATGTAATTGTTGTTTTTTTTTTTTTTTATCATGCTGTATGCTTTGGTGACACCAAGGGGGTTATTTACTAAAACTGGAGAGTGCAAAATCTGGTGCAGCTCTGCATAGAAACCAATCAGCTTCCAGGTTTCATTGTCAAAGCTTAATTGAACAAGCTGAAGTTAAGAGCTGATTGGATACTACGAACAGTTGCACCGGATTCTGAGTGCATCAGTTTTAGTAAATCTCCCCCCAACTGTCAACATACTGCCATGCTCTGTAACTTCTAGAGAAGTTGTGAGCATGACTGTCTGGAAAATGTAACTGAATGGTTATTGTTCAGTAAAAATAATACTTAATTTAAAAAAATCATTACGAGCAAATTTACATGTCTGCACTGCAGTAGCACACAGTAAAACATGCATCTTTCTGCAATTGGCCATGTGGACTGCAGTTCATTTTTAACAACACCCCAATGCACAATAATAACAAAATCTTCATTTGGTTTTAGATGCCTACATTTTCTAAGGAAGGCAGCAAAGATTTAAAAACACATTTGGCATAGAATAGGTCAGTCAGACATGTGTGCCTACCAGGGGCGGACTGACAACTCATGGGGCCCCCGGGCAATAGGGGATCATGGGGCCCCTGTGTCCTTGCCCAAACTCAAAAAAGCCTATGAAAACGGTACCAGGGGCATCTCATGGGGCCCCCTACTGATCCTGGGCCCTCGGGCAGTGCCCGTGTTTCCAAATGGTCAGTCTGCCCCTGGTGCCTACTGTAATGCATTGTGACGTTTTTCCCTCTTCATTGTAGGAAATGTACAGGCAGAGTGTTTGTGTTCAGCCCCAAAAAGGGAGACTGGAAAGACCTTCCTCCAATGAAGACAGCCCGCTCAATGTTCGGTGTTGCCATTCACAAGAACAAGATCTTCGTTGCTGGTGGAGTCACAGAGGATGGACTAACAGCATCAGTTGAAGCCTATGATATAGCCAATAACAAGTATGTTTATGGGCAGACATATATGTGGGCTCTCAATGTACACAATGATACATACTGAGTGCATTATATTATGAAAGATGAACATTTGACAGTGTTATATTTTGGCCATATACTGTTTGAATAGTTCGGCCACCACTAAGGTTTTTTTTTTTCCAGTTCGGCTGGTATGTGAAACTATAAAGGTGACTGGTGACTGCTGCCAACTCTGACAGTTTTTATTTAAGATTTTTTTCAACAGTTTAAGACCAGCCTTTCATGAATATTAGTATCACTTTTCATATGGTTGTACCATGGTTCCACCAACAGTATTTTAGGTCAACTAGCAGGGCTACCTCTTTGGTCTAATCTACATCTAATTTTTTAACCATTCACTGCTGCACCAGTACTAACCAAAGATTGCATGATATTGCAACAACTGCTGACATTGCTACCTGTAATATTACCAGCACCATGTACCCAATGCCATTCCCTATTCATTAAACGTAGAGAGTCTGATTCAACTATCCAATTTTCTGACAGTATTAAATACTGTATGGGCATTTTTTGTGCTTTCTTTTTGCTGCAGGAAGGCTGAAAACTCCCATCGTTGACAGCATGCTGAGCATAGCAGTCCAGGTCTGCAGTGGTCCAATATGCTCCCTGTATGCTGCTACAGTTATCAGCTCTCATGCTCCCTAAGAAGTGCTGCTGATTGGTGCAGTGTGCAGAGGGGGCTTGTTAGGTTCTTGGGGGACTCAGACCTGTGTTAAAGTGGTATTAAATTGAAAACCAAAAATGTAATATATTGCAACTTACCAATCATTAGATGTAATGGTTTTAATAGTTTTACTTCACCTGGTGATCTGGCCAGTAACATACTTCCTGTATTCGTGTGCCCCCACTCCGGATGAATGAGCACAGGGGGCGCATTTGGTCAGCAGCATTGTTAATCGGGAGGGGGGGAGGGGGTTAGATGTACTAGAAGATTTAAATATACTAGCAAACAAGCTAACACTCTATAAACAGTTACATCATTTTTCCTGTTGGGATAAAGATTTTACACAAATAAAAGCTGATCATTGTAAGCACCCCTGCCAGTGTTAGATGGTTTGTATCAGCCCCTTAACTGATACATCTGGAATAGAGGTTGTTCTTTTGAAAAACAACATATTTACTGGCTGGATCATCAGATGAAAATTGAAGAAAGCAAGCTTAATAAAGAAAACTAATGCAGCTGTCACATCTAAGAATTGGTAAGCTGCAATATAATAAATGTTTGGATTTGTGTATAATACTGCTTTAAGAGATCTGGCTCTCTAATGTTTTTTAACAAAGAAAAAGGATACCCATATTTAGTATTGTGATGCAGCCCAATTGCAACACAGTAATAAAATTTGAAGGGTTGATTTCTGAAGTTTCTTGAGCATGGTGGTGTCAGCAAGGCTACCTATGGCTTGTATTTCAGGCTATTCACAGGAATTGGCCAAAATTCCAGCAGTGCATGACTGGCTTAAGGAAGCTTGGCATTGCTGGATTTTCTCCTGACCCTCTGGCTTTATATTTTCTGAAAGCACTGACCTGGAACATGGGCACAGATCAGGCACTATGACATAACTCTGGCTTTTCAATCTGCATAGTTTTTCCTTGTCTATAACCAGGGAAATATAAAAGCCAGAGACAGCCAGGTATGTAGTGTCCTTAGAAGGAGGGTTCCTTTAGCATAGCTATATGTTTCCTGAATAGCATTACCATGTCATGGGATGATTTTACCTCTTACCTGCGGTTTCTCTCTATTACACTTTGACCGTAAAATATTTATTTTTTTCAATTGTTAAAGGTATAAGAGCCTATTGATAATTAAAAATGGAATATCAGGGTGTACCTTCTGAAAAACAAATGGTTTGTACATGCATGGATCATCAGTATAACTTGTTCTTTTTAGATGGGAAACAATCACAGAATTTCCCCAGGAAAGAAGCTCCATCAATATTGTCAGCTTATCAGGATCCCTGTATGCCATTGGTGGATTTGCAATGGTTCAGTTAGAATCTCAAGAGTTTGCACCATCAGAGGTCACTGACGTGTGGAAGTAAGTAACAGAGATGCCACTGTTGTACTGTATGCATAACTTTCCTCTAAGTTCGATGGCATCTTGAATAGCTTTAAAGTATAAGTTCACTTTTTGGACAAAAATAATAAATGCACATTTTTTTTGGAGGTAAAAAAAAGTGCATTTATTATTTTTGCCCAAAGGAGCCTGTAAAGCATTGCACCAGCGATCAGTAGATCGCTGATGCAATGCAGGTCTCCTGCAGACCTGTCAGAATATCTGCTTGCCATATGGGATGTACAATCAAGCAGATATTCTGACAGGAAGCTTCAATGAATTACCAGGCACTCATTCACAGAACAGTGTGAATGAATGGGCGGAGCCACGCATGGCCTCACTGTTTTCAAATCTGACAGTATGGGGAGAAGTTTCCCTATACTATCTGTCAGAGGGAGGGGGGGCAGGGGCGGGGGCGGGGGCGGGGGCGGCAATGGTGACATGTTACATGTGCCACCCTAAAAAAGGGTGGCACATGTAACATGTTCCCAAAGGTGAACTTATCCTTTAAAGCTAACATTGTAGTTTGAATCTTATAGTCTATACTATTATTTTGTTTTAAAGTTAAACGATGGAAAAAGAATACATAACCAAAGCACTGTAATTAATATGAAACTACATTAGGAATTTTGTAATCCCCTATCTTGGAGGACAGGACACTGGACTTCTATTCATAGACCATGGGTTATACAGTGCATCCAGAAAGTATTCACAGCGCTTAACTTTTGCCACATTTTGTTATGTTACAGCCTTATTCCAAAATGGATTAAATTCATTTTTTTCCTCAACATTCTACAAACAATACCCCATAATGACAATATAAAAGAAGTTCGTTTTGAAATCTTTGCAATTGTTTTTGAGAAGTGTAGTATGTCTACAAGATATTCGCTTTGTCTGAGGGAAGGAAAGACAGATCTCATTGTTTCCATTCAGAGAGATTTGAGACTGTAATTAGGTTTGAATAGAAACCTTGAAACAGTTCTCCTGAAGGAAGTGGTATAACCACCTCTTGTGCCTGAAGTTGGTGCAAGGCAATCATTAAATCTGCCTTCCTTTTGGTCTGAAATTGGAAGATTGGAAGGTAAAAAGCGATGAAAGGGCAGAGATAAAAATTCTATTTTGTGCTACTTTCGAATGATTGCAGCTGAGACATCCAGGTCCATGCTGAGTGGTGCAAATGCCAACAGACATCCCTCCACTCCTTGGAGTGGAGGGATACCAACAGACATGCCTCCACTCCGAGGAGTGGGAGCGCCCCTTCATTATGAAGAGGACTTTTGGGAAGGCTTGGCGGGCCAAGGCTTGAGACAAAAAGAAGTGCTAAACTTTAGTTTTAAGGTTAATACCGGGGGAGAAAAGAAAAGATCCCTTTTTTGAGTAGAGGTAGCAGCTGTAGGAGACTTTGGATTTTTCCATGTGGGATAGAAGTACCTTTCCCCACAGTTACTACTTTGATGAATTAGTCAAGGGATTCCCCAAAGAGGCTTTTGCCATCAAACAGCATGCACAGATGATGTTTCCTATAAGCATGTTCAGCAGACCAAGCTTTTAGCTACAAAATCCTGTGCATATTGCACAGAGATAAAAAAAGATTCTTGAAACTTGGCGAGTTACATTCTGAAGAGCATTGACACATACCAGTAGGGCTGAAGGCATCAGATGTAATTGTTCCAGTGAGCAGGGTTCCCAGTCTCTATTAATTTTTCTCAACCAGTTAACGATAGCATGGCAAAGAGACATGGCAGTAATTGCAGGCTACAGGACATGACATGCTAGAGCAAATGAGGCCTTTAAAATGCCTATAAACAGAATACTTAATAGGAACTGTAAGGTGTTTTATTGAGAACTGAATTTGCAAGATCCACTACTAGAATAGTCCATTTGTTTTTTTTTAGGTCCATGTGTTTTTTTTGTATCTTTCCATAGCATAGATCTTAGCAAAAGGCTTAGGAGGAGTGAAAACCCTTTCAAGGTTGAGCCAGTAAAGTGCACAAATAATCTGGGCATGTATGGGAAAAGTCTTAAGACTTAGTCAGTCTCCAAATACCCCAAGGGGTCTGTTTTGGCTGTTGAGAATCAAGTGCTGTTGGGTATAGACAAGTTCGCACCACATCTTCTAGTGTGTCCACAGTAGAAAGCATTTGGTGCTAAGCCATAGCTTGTACCTCATAAAATGCAGGGTAAGGAAAATCATCCGCTGCCCCTGCTACAAAATCAGTGACCTCAATACTTTTATTATTATTATACAGGATTTATATAGCGCCAAAAGTTTGCTCAGCACTTTACAATATAAAGGGAGACAATACAGTTCAATACAAGAGGGTTAGGAGGGCCCTGCTCCTTGGAGCTTACAATCTAAGAGTGAGAGGCTGCTGGTACAAAAAGGTAATAACTCTGGGGGATGAACTGATAGGAGGAATAGAAGATTCCGTTATTAGCTGAAGAGATAGGCTGCTCTGAAGAGATACATTTTCAGAGATCACCTAAAAGTAGGCAGAGTAGACGATAGTCGGATAGATTGGGGTAGAGAGTTCCAGAGGATGGGGGAGGATCTGGAGAAGTCCTGGAGATGAGCATGGGAGGAGGAGACAATGGAGCTAGAGAGCAGGTGGTCATGCAAGGAGCGGAGAGGACGGTTTGGGTGATATTTGGAGACCAGATTAGTGCTGTAATTTGGGGCAGAGTTACAAATGGCTTTATATGTTAATTTTAATGTTTTGAATTTTATTTGTTGTGCATTGGGAAGCCAGTGGAGGGATTGGCAGATAGGGATGGCAGATATGGAATGGTTGGTAAGGTGGATGAGTCTGGTAGCAGCATTCATTATAGACTGAAGAGGGGATTATTATTATTATTATACAGTATTTATATAGCGCCAGAAAGGTTTGCTCAGCACTGTACATTATAGTGGGGGACAGAACATGAGACAATACAATAACAAAACAATACACAAGGGGTTCGAGGGCCCTGCTCTTTCGAGCTTACAATCTAGGAGGGACGGGATAGTGGTACAGGAGGAAGTGGCTGTGGGGCATGGAGTGGTAGGAGGAGTGGAGGAGATCGGCTGTTAGGTGAGGGTGGGGTAGGCTTCCCTGAAGAGATGGGTTTTCAGGGTGCGCCTAAAGGTGAGGAGGGTAGGTGACAGTCTGATGGATTGGGGTAGTGAGTTCCAGAGGATGGGGGAAGTCCTGGAGAAGTCCTGCAGTCGGGCATGGGAGGTGGAGACCAGGGAGCTAGAAAGTAGGAGGTCTTGTGAGGAGCGAAGATTATGGGTTGGGTGGTATTTGGGTATCAGGTCGGTGAGGTAGTTTGGGGCAGCGTTGTGAATGGCTTTGTATGTCAGTGTTAGTAGTTTGAATTTAATGCTTTGGGCAATTGGGAGCCAGTGGAGGGAATGATAGAAGGGGGTGGCAGAAGAGGAGCGGTTGGTAAGGTGGATGAGTCTGGCCACTGAGTTCAGGATAGACTGAAGCGGGCATAGTCTGTGATGAGGTAAGCCAGTGAGAAGGGAGTTGCAGTAGTCCAAACGTGAAATAATGAGGGAGTGAACGAGTTGTTTAGTAGTGTCTGGGGTTAGGAACGTACGTATTTTGGAGATGTTGCGGAGGTGGAGTCTGCATGAGTTTGCCAACGATTGGACATGGGGTTGGAAGGACAGGTTTGAGTCCAGAGTGACATCTAGGACTTTGGCTTGCGTGGTGGCACTGATGGTGGCGTTGTTGGTCGTAATGGAGAGGGTGGGGGGGGGGGCGGGCTGGGGGGAAGATTAGGAGCTCGGTTTTGGAAAGGTTCAGTTTGAGGAAATGGAGCGACATCCAGTTTGATATGCCGTTCAGCAGGTGGGTAATACGGGCGGAGACTGAAGGGGTGAGGTGAGGAGTGGAGAGGTAAATTTGCGTGTCATTGGCGTAGAGGTGATAGGGAGGAGGTGTAGATGGAGAAGAGAAGGGGCCCAAGGACAGAGCCTTGGGGGACCCCAACAGAGAGGGGGAGAGAGGGGGAGGTGGTAGCGTTATAGGTAACGCTGAAGGAGCGTTGGGATAGGTAGGAGGAGAGCCAGGAGAGAGCGGAGTCTCTGATGCCGAGGGGTGTAGTTTATTAAGGAGGAGGGTGTGGTCAACTGTTGAAGGCCGCGGAGAGGTCAAGTAGTAAAAGGTCTGAGTAGTGGCCATTAGCTTTGGCAGTTAGCAGGATAGCCTGTTGTTTAGGTAGGCCAATGAGGAGGGAGTTACAATAGTCAAGGCGAGAGATAACAAGGGAGTGAATAAGTTGCTTAGTGGTTTCAGAGGTTAAGAACGGGCGTATCTTGGAGATGTTGCGTAGGTGAAGTCTACAAAATTTGGACAGCATTGGATTTGGGGGCTGAAAGGACAGATGAGAGTCTAGGATTTCACGTACCCTGGCATGAGGGGAGGGACTGATGGTTGTATTACTGATCCTGATGGAGAAGTCAGGGGAGGGGGCACGGGCTGGAGGGAATAGTATGAGCTCCATTTTGGAAAGATTTAGTTTGAGGAAGTGGAGTGACATTCATGCTGATATGTCACTTAGTAGGTTAGTAATGCGAGAGGAGACTGAAGAGGTGAGGGGTAGAAAGATAGATTTGTGTGTCATCAGCATAGAGATGGTACTTAAAGCCATGGGAGTTTATCAAGTGACCAAGGGACGAGGTGTAGATAAGGGGTCCAAGGACAGAACCTTGAGAGACTCCTACAGAAAGAGGAAGTGGAGAGGAGGAGACTGAGTTATAGGTAATGCTGAAGGAGTGCTGCGATAGGTAGGAGGAGAACCAGGAGAGAGTAGAGTCTCGGAGGCCAAAAGAGTGGAGTTTTTTGAGGAGGAGGGGATGATCAATAGTATCAAAAGCAGCAGAGAGGTCAAATAGTAAGAGTATGGAGTAGTGGCCATTAGTTTTAGCAGTTAGTAAACCATTAGTGAGTTTTAGTAGGGCAGCTTCAGTGGAGTGGAGTGAGTGAAAGCCAGACTGTAAAGGGTCAAGAAGGTTGTTGTCAGTGAGGTGGGAGCTCAGGCGATTGTAGACTAAGCGTTCTAAGAGTTTAGAGGTAAAAGGGAGCAGGGAGATGGGTCTATAGTTGTTAAGGTTGGTGGGGTCCAGAGAGGGCTTTTTAAGTATGGGAGTGATCTGTGTATGCTTTAGAGGGGCGGGGAAGGCACCATTGGAGAGGGAGAGATTGAAGATGTGAGTGAGGGATGGAAGATGAGGGTGACCGTAGTAGTTGTGGGGGGACAGGATCCAGGGGGCAGGTGGTGAGAAAATTTTAGTGACCTCTTCAGTAGTAGCAAGGTCAAAAGAGGAAAGTTTAGAGGGAGGTTTAGTAAGAGATATGCTAAGTGGGATATATGTCTGTGTAGCGAAGATGCCCTACGAATTGCATCAATCTTGTTTTTTAAATGATTTTCAATCTTGTAAGCAGTGAGTGAGTTACTGGGTGGAGGTGGAGAAAGTAGAGAGTTAAAAGTAGAGAAGAGATGACAAGGGCTGGATGACTGCTGGATATCTTCAACTAAAGGAATTTGCTTCTGGTTCCCGAAAAGGGTCAAAGAAAAAAAAGAGATGCAGCAGTTCTAGCATCTGGAAACCAAAAGGTTCTAGAAGTGCTGAAAGTTTTCTGAAGAATTCAGACTTCATGGTAGAGAAATCTGCCTTTGGGTAGAGAAATCTGCCTTTGTCAGACAGGCCACATGGGTGTGTGCCTGAGAGGGAGCTAGAGTAAGATAAGAGGAGCATTGTCAAAATAGGACATTGCTCTGGGACAAGGGAACAGCTATCAACCTGTGGTACTCGGTTCAGGTGTGGAATGGATGGGGTTTTGTGTGCCTGGAGAAGGAGCCGCTATAACCCAGAAGAGGACCGAGTTCTTGTGGCTATGCCTCTGCAGAACAAACACAGTAATGTACTGCGTGCATTCTGAGCACAGGCGGGCAGCTACCTCACATGAGGCTAGATCCCAATGGAATTGTAAAAAACAATAAATATAAAAGGGCTCTTGCTGAGAGGCATTAGAGACAAAATAGCAGGGATTGCCTCAAACTCGCAAATCCTCTGCCCACTAAATAGCATAGTGTGCTCTGCCCAGTGGGTAATGCTGTTAAAAGCCAGGAACCCTGTCTTACCTTATCCACAGTGCTGGGCCTATTAAAGTTCTAGGCTTCGCCCATCACAGTGGACATACCCCGAAGGAGTCTTCAGGGTCGTTAACCATAAAAATGGACCACAGCCCTGGACCTGTATAGCAACCTGCAGCTAACTTCACACATTGAACTTCATGCCAAGGTTAGCACCCAATGCAGGATCCAGTGTCCAAAGCAAACAATATATCCCCCCCCCAAAAAAAAAAAATAAAAAATTTGACTACACTAACTGGGATATTTTATACACATACCAATAGCTACTCGTCAGAGCAAGTCCAAAAAAAAGCCAAAATATATATAGATGAGGTTGCTCTATACAATTTTTGATTGTGTCTGCCCTCAATTAAATGTGTGTCTTTTCTTGTCAGGTTTGAAGATGACAAGAAGGAATGGAGCGGAATGTTAAAGGAAATCCGTTATGCCTCTGGTGCTACTTGTCTGGATTCTCACCTTAACCTTTTTAAACTGACTAAGTTGTAAAAGATTAACATAGTTACTTATTTTACAACATATTCATTTTTTGTTTGCTACTGCTTGTTTAAAATAAAGAAAGGTTGTACAGAAATTTTTAGCTCAATTAATAAAGTTTTTTTGAAGTCTGACAATATATCGTAGCCTAAATTGGAATATGTAACTTATTATAAAACTTACTGACCTGTTGCTGCCTGATTGTATAATATCTATATGATGTCCTTTAAAAGAGAAGTATGATTCAAACTCTTTGGCCATAATTCTCTTGTGGGTCCCTGGAGTACATTGTTTGTTCAGTGACCCAGAGTTAGCAGATAGTGGGCTATAACCTGCTATCAGCTGATGGGGCAAAGCTGTGCCAAGCTCTTGAAGGATCCCAACAATATTGTAGAGATGCACTCAGCATCCTGAATGACAGCTGGCTCTGAATTTCAGCAGCAGAGGGCTAGGGCCAGCAGCTTCCACCACTCCACTTAGTCACTGCTCTCAGCTCTGCTCTTCCAACTCTGTCACTGCTCTCCACTCAGAGACGACTAAGAACTGAGTGATCAGCAGTCAAGGGATTGTTAAGTTCTCCGTCTTGAAGCCAGTGTGAGACAGCTATATCTTTACACAGGTGCTGCAGCATGGGGGTAAATATAAAGGTTTTTTTCGTATGCCATTCTTCTCCTTCAAATTTACCATGTATGCAGTACAAGCTTCTACCTAAACAATCTATTCAATTTATTTCTGTTCAGCAAGGTTCGATATATACTACTGTATTTGAGGGTAAATTTAAAAATGATTGCATAACGTGTTCAATGTATGGGCCAGCTATAGCCTTCATCCCTGCATCAATACACTGTATACATTTAGGACCCATTCACATGTGTTGTATGTTAACATGCATTAAGTTACGCATTAAAATATACTGCAACACAGGTGCATTCCTTTGGATGGGATATTGCTGAAGAGGCAGCAACTAGACAACCAGCAAAGAGAAGCGGTTTCAAGATACCAGCCATTCAGAGTGGAGGAATCTTGCATGAAATAACTGTGTTAAGTTATTTCAAACTATTACTTACCTCCTAGCCTAAATAAGCTGTTATCCCTTGCTGTGAAGGGGAAGGGGTGGGCAGGGGGATTGAATGGCTATACTATAACTATATAATCGTTTTTACTCCCCTTATAAAACCCTAATTACATCTCTGCATATTGACACTCATAGAGCACATGTACTGTATACTGCATGCATGAGTTGTGCTTATTATTACCTGTTGGTCATATCTGGTATTATTGTCCAGCCATTAAATGTGTTTTGTTTTACAGGAACCACTTTATCTCACAGGCTGAACTCAAGTTGGACCAAGATATGTAAAAAAACAATAGGAAGAAGGGTCAGCCACACACTGCAGGATAGATGAATATAGTGTGTATTTATAGATCCATAGGATACACAGAAAGTACAGAAAGGGGTCCCAACCAAATAAGCAATCTACATATAATCTAGGAAATACTCATCCACAGCAGTTGCTCCATTAAAAAACATGTTTTAATCGCAATAAAAGATACTTTAGACAGTATATGCATCATCTGCAAATATCTTTTTTCTGAGATAACTTGTCCAGGCAACCTTTGTTCCAAGACTTGTAGAGTTCCATTCATTACTGGGGATCTGGAAATCAATAAAAGAGACATTCCATTAAAGGGTTGTGTATACATTATGTTCAGTGGACAGATTATGGGAATATACACCAAATCAGCCGTAATATTAAGACCACTGTCAGGTAAAGTGTGAATAACATTGATTATCTTGTTTGAGTAACTTTGACAAGGACCAAATTGAATGGCTAGACAATGGGATCAGAGCAACTCCAAAACTGAAGCTCCCTTGTCTGCAGTGGTCAGGACCTACCAAAATTGGTCCAAGGAAGGTAAACTGGTGAACCAGCAACAGGGTCGTGGGCAACCAAGGCTCATTAATGCATGTGGGAAGCAAAGACTGGCCCATGTAGTGCAATCTAATAGAAGAGCTACTGTAGCTCAAGTTTCTGAAAAAGTTAATGCTAGTTATAGAAAGGTGTCAGTTCACACAGTGCATCACAGTTTGTTGCGTATAGGGACCCATGTCCACTGCTAAAAGAGCCTACAATGGGCATGTGAGCATCAGACCTGGATTACAGAGCAATGGAAGAAGGTGGCCTGGTCAGATGAATTCAAGAATGGATTGAGGTGTTGATTGCCTCCAAATTCTCCAGATCTCAATCCAACTAAGCATCTGTAGGATCTGCTGCAAAAATCAATTCTACTCCATGGTGGCCCCACCTTGCAAATCATAGGACTTAAAGGTTATGCTAGTGATGGTTTGGTGCCAGATACCACATCATACCTTCAGAGGTCTAGTGAAGCCATTGGGGTTATGATGGGTGGTCATAATCTTATGGCTGATCAGTGTATGTGTCAAGCACAGAAACATGTGGAAGGTTTAGCAACCAATAAAATACCTTCTTATAAAAACTATACCAGAAAAACACAATTTGATTTAATACCATGGGCAATAAACTTTATTTTTGTACAGATGTTATACTCAAGGTTGTAATTTATTTTGTCAGTCTTGGGCATCAAAGGGTCTGCACCCACAAAGCTATAATGATGGGGTCTTAACTCCGGCAGCTGAATTTCCCAGTTATTTGTTTATTCTTCATTATGAAAAATCCAGAACATCATAGAGCTTTAAAAGTTGGGCAGTGCTGGGAATATGTCAACACAAGAGTTCACAAGAGTCTAGTATGTAATCTAAGCAACAAAAATGGAGTCGACAGTTTTAGATGCAATTTGCAATTGAAGTGTATGCCTAGGCAATATAAATATACAAAAAAACCCAAAACATTCAGTACAAATGTGCAATACATGCGCATTTCCTAATGTCTGCATACAAGTCTGTAAGTACAGAAAATAACTGTTAATCCTATTCATCCAGTGATGTTCCTATTGTTGACTGTCAACACTATTTCAGATGCACTGAAATCCCCAGAAGTGTTATCAGCCCTGGCTAGGTTCTTCTTTGCTGGCCTACGCAACACCCCCTACATCTTGTCCATAGCATAAGGGGAAGGTGTTCTGTAGTCCAATAACGGAGAAAACATAGGCTCAGAATTTCACTGCAGCAGAGACAATGTTGTCAGTTCACAACAGAAGTTAGGAGCTTGATAGATCTTTGGCAGGATCAAAAGGTATATTTTTCTACTAGCAGTGTTTTAAAAAGGATAAAACATAGAGAAATGTGCATATATTACTGAGAGGTACTGCACACATATATAAAAATATTGATTTGTTTTAATTTGCTCACATACATAAAACAAGTACTGTAAAAACAAGTGGGCAAAGGGCTCAGTTACAGTTAGATCCAAACTGAAACATAAGTCCATGTCTAGGAATAATTAATTTATTTATGAATTAAAGACCCCTATAATATGCAATAACATTATTATAATGTCATATTGCTCCTCCCTCTCACAAAAAATGTTCAGTAAAGGTTAATTATGCCACTATCAGGAGACCTCCTAAAACATGCCCATACTGCTATTATTTCTACCTGAATGACATGGTATCCCAAGATTTTCAAATGCCTTTTCTTCATTGCATATAGACCTCTTACATTGGGAGAATTTCTGAGCAATGCCCAAGGATAGAGAAAACCCACTGTGACCCTAGATTAATTAAAGAAAATTTTGAACAATAAGTCAACTAAACTTTTTTGGTATGACTACGATATGATGGTGATAAAAAAAAAACAGTATATTGTAGGGACCACTGCCCGGCTGTGATCAGGCATATTCTGTAGATTTAGGTGCCTATAGTCTCTCAGTTTTATTCTGTGCGGACTAAAAAAAAAAGGTCAAGGTATTTGTTACCCTCTCAAACCTAATTAATAAAATATGGTGAAATTCGATTACTGTCTGCAAATAGTTCAAAACCTTAGCTGTCACTGACCTTTAAGCTCCTGACGGTAAAAGTGTATTTTCCTGTATGTGACTGTAAGAGGTTCACACATTGATGGTGAGCTAGACGACAGAACATCCCCTTCCACATATGCAATAGGGTTTCTCTCTTTATCTAGAATGTATTAAAAATATACAGAGCAAACACAATCAGAAATGTCATTACGAGCATGTAACACTAAAGGAAACTGGCACTAAGAGAAATATCAAAGAATTCTAAAAACATACCATGCCTGGCTGTCTCCGGCCTCACTACTTCATTTGCTCTGACTTTCTGATCTGCTTATGTGAACTGGGTCAGAGACCAAGTCAGAACTCCTCCTTCCAAATCAGCAGCTCAATCATTGTAAAAGCCAGGCAACTAACATTTTAACATTTTAACAGAAGTAAAACTCAGCAATGACAGCCTCTATATTCCCTCTTCACAGGTTTCTTTTAATCCAGCAGTGCTTGTATCATCCAGGCTTCCAGTCTGATTTGGACATGAGACAGTATGGCCACAATTAAAAGGGTGGACAAAATGAAAACTGCCTTTAGATCAAAAGTGAAAGCAGATATGATCATTCAGTATAGGATATCCAGCATGATATTTTTCCCCATTGAGATCTGATGTGTTTTCAAAGTGTTCCTTTAATTTTTTGCAGCAGTGTACTTAAAAACCAACAGATGTATCTCAGCTTCTCACAACACAACCACAGGTTCCAACCCATGGAGAATTACAACTGATTGTTGAATGTACAAAGCTCCAACCGTCTGATGCATTTCGAGGTCTTGCCTCTTCTTCAGAGCCAATCTTCATCAAATGGCTCGCAGGAAGAGACAAGGCCTCAAAACACATAAGCTGGTTGAATCTTTGTACATTCTACCATCAGTTGTAATGCACCATGGGTTGGAACCTGCGGCGGACTGAAGAAGCCATGTGACTCATGGCATGACGACTCATGACGAGTGGGCATATAAGATTATGAACCATCTTGGTGGGTAATATACCTTTTGATATAGACTACTAAGGTCCTTTTTCGTACATAT